AGCCCCCTCTGGTTTTCGGGTGGAGGAGCCCGGACACCTGGGTCTGACCACAGCTTAACCTGCGACAGACCCTCCCCCAACCCTGCCTCAGTTTCCCTCCAGCACTTCTTGTCCACACCAACCCCTAAATGGCAGTGCCTGCACATGGAGGGGGGGCTTCCCTCCACCAGTCCCCCTGGCACCCCACCAAGCCTCTTCCCTTCCCAGGAGCTTGAGGACACATTCAGGAGCCCCCCTACCCAGACCCCCTCAGCAGGGTCATGTCTCCAAAGGGTGCCTGGCTGATGGAGCATGCCGTGGGCACAGCATTACCCAGGGGAACCCCTCCAGAGGACACCCTAACATGGCCCTGGGCACCCCCACCCCACCTCAGGGCTTGCACAAGACAGGGGGATGGGGTGCACTCCACCCTGCAGCTGCACCAGAGACCCCACACACCCCCCCCGCACCTATTGGGGTGGTGCCAATTGGGGCTGGCAGCAGCACCCCCGAATGCCGCCGCAATGCTGTGGTGATGCCGGGCAAGGACCCATCCCCGTGGGGCAGCTGCGGGTGCCAGGCGTGGGCAGCGGCTGTGCCAGGCTTGGGCACTAATTGCATTTGCCTCAGGAAGGCTCCTAACGAGCTGTAGCACCAGGGAGGGGGGCAGGCAGCAGAGAGTTCAGGGGGTCCCACACACTTCACAGCTGTCCCCCACAGCCCTGCCTGGCATTCTGGGGCTGGCAGAGGGCTGGTGGGCAGGGGGTGCAAGGGTATGGCCCCCCTGGCCATGAGAGGTGACATCACTGCTGGCTCCATTGTCCCCCACCCTGGTTTAATTAGCAGATGGCCCCAGACCCCCCCGTCAGGCAGCACCAGGCCTGTGCAGGGCCATTAGCTTTATTGGCTGCGCTGAACGAGGGCCAGGCCTCGTTAATTGAATTGCACCCGCGCCGAGGACGGGCAGGCGTCTTCTCCCCGCCCTGCCAGGCCCCACCACCCCCCTCCTGGCCTTTGGCTGGGGCAGGGACAGGGGACCCCACTGCCAGGTGCCACGGGGGCACCCACCCTGTGGAGGGGTGGGCAGGGGCGGCCCCCGCAGTGGGTGTCAGGGTCCTGCCCGTGGGGTGCCTGGCACGGGGCAGGCATGTTGGCAGGTGGGTGCAACCATGGGCACACGTATGTGCATGCAAATGTGGGTGCCCTCTCAGCCCTGTGCCCATGCCTGCCACATGTATATGGCTTGCACCTACAAACACACCCCTATAGCTGTGCACACACAGCCTGCACACACATGCAATCACACATGTGCATACACACACGTTCACACAAATATGCATCCCCCTCCTTGGCACAGTGGGGTGATGCTCCACCCCACCCACTCCCCCGACCAATGTGGGGTGCTGTGCTCCACGCCCACAGCAGGGCAAGGGGGTGCTGGGGAGGCTGGGGGTCACACCAAGCACGACCACCAGCTCCCCCATGCCCCCTGGCTGCTTGGAGGCACCCCACAGCCCAACACACTCCCCCACTGAGAGACTGGAGGGTGCAGGGAGGCCCAGGCTCCTGCTCAGCATCACTTCCTACTTTCGCTTTGGTTCCGAGCTGAGGCCTGGCTTGAGGGAGGCGGGTGCCCCCCAGGCCCCCCGGCTGGCACAGGTAGGGGCCGTGGGTGCTGCGAGGGGGGGAGCAGTGGGGGACAGGATGTGGGGGCAGCTGGGTGTCGCTGGGGGCATCCACAAAGCTGGACGGTGGTGGGGAGGGGGCGGCAGCGGGTCCCCATGCCTGGCACTTGGGGGGTGAGCTGATATTGCCCCCAGCCTCCAACTCCAGAGGATTTAGCTCCCACCCCAGAAAGACCCCACAGGACAGGGCTGGCATTGCAAAGGGGGACAGGCGTGGTGGCTGAGGGGCACTGCTGGGCTGGGGGCTCCCCAGGCACAGACGGAAAGGGGGAGGCCTTGACCAGGGTGTTCCAGGAAGTTTGCACCCTAGCTCTGGGCAGAGCCCCCATGTCGGGGGCAGATGCCCACAGATGCCTACAGGCCTTGCTGGGGTGGGCTGCAGCTCCTCAGGGGTCAGCCTCCATGCCCAGGGGCTGCTGATGCCCCAGAAGCGCTGTTAGCTAGCTGGGTCCCAGACCTTCTCCCCCAAAAATGCAAAGGGATTCCTCAAAGTATTCCCAAGCCTCATTCTCATGGGAAGGCATCAGGGTCCCCCCCAGGCCTGGCACTGTCCTTCCCCACCCCCGCAGAGGCTGCACAGGGGGGCCAGCCTTGCTGACCCCCTCCCCAAAACTGGCACCCCCTAAACAAGGGAGCTGGGTGCCAGGGGCCCCAAGTTGCAGTGCCTGATGTGATGCAGGACAGGCAGGGGGTGGCTCCTGTGGCCTCCCTGACCTCCCACAGTTCCTCTCAGCCAAGGTAGAAAAGGAGAAGCAGGCGAGTGCAGTGTGGGCACAGGGACACGCCAGCATCCCCCCGGCTCCCAGTAAGCGCCTTGGGGCACCCCACAGCTCCCAGCCACAGGTAAGGGGCTCCTCTTCTCGGGGGAAACTGAGGCATGGGCAGGGTGGGCAGGTGAGAAGATGGCTTGCGCAAGGTCACCCAAGGTCACTGGGAAGGGAACCCAGGCATCCAGAGTCCTGTGTCCTGCTCTGCCATGGGGGGGTAGTGGGCACTCACATGCACTTGGGCACACTTGGGCACACACACTCCCGTGAGCACACACCCACCCTACCATGCACAACCCCATGCACACACACGTGTGCTCCCCAAGCCCTGTGCCCAGCCACCATCCGCAGTGACATGCCCCAGACCTGCCACCTCTGTGGGCACTGTCTTGCATCCTGGGGACAGGGTGCCACCCACCACCCCCCAAAAACCACCCCACTGCACTGTGCCTCCTGGCTCCTCACCCCATGCTCACAACACCCCCCGACCCTGTGCCAGCCCCGCAGGCAGCATGCTGTGCCAGGGGGCTCTGCCTGGGGCAGTGCTCAGTTTGGGGGGGCCACATGTCGGGGGTTGTGTGCCCCCCTTCCTCCCCCCCACCCCTCCCAGGAGGCCCCCACACTGTTCGCAGTGTGAGCAAGGGAAGCGAGAGCAGAAGCAAAGGCAGCGCTTCCCCAGTGCCAAACCCACATCCTGAATCCTGGGGGACAGGGACAGGGACACACCGGGTTGGGGGGGGCCAGCCCCAGGAGGCCCCCCAAGGAATGGGGCAGAGCCTGGGGGCATTTTGGGGCAGGGCACAAGAACAACTAAGGGTTAGTGGAATGGGGCACCTTTCCCCACCCCATACCCCCTACCCCAGGTAGTGGGGGGACATGAGCAGAAAAAAGGGGTGCCTGAGCCCATTTCCTCTTAACAGCAGGCAGCTCTGGGGTAGAACTACAGGGGCAGACCCTCTCCTTGGGGCATAGAATTTGGAGATGCCAAGCAAGTGCCAGCCTGGCACCTCTCATCTCTGCCCCTGCTTTTGCAGCCTCTCAGGGACAGCCATGGCAGGGGACGGGGAGCTCAACCGCATCATCAAGGACCTGCAGAGTAAGTGTGCCAGCCTGTCCTCTGCCAGCTCCCCTGCATCCCACCCTGGCCACGCCAGCTCCCTCCTTGCACCCAGCCTGCAGGCAGCCGGGAGGGTGTCACTGCCAGGGGTGCTCCAGAGCATCCCAGTGCCAGCCATGCCACTGCTGCCTGCTCCTGTCCTTGCTGCCAGCCCCAGGGGACCGTTAGTGCCCGGTGGGTACCTCTGGCCTCGCTCTCCCTGCTCCCCCATTCCATCCCAGGGCAGGTTCCTCTTTCACCACCAGCAGAAATCCCCAGGGCCAGGGCTGGGAGTTGGGAGGTGGGGGTGGGATGGGGCAGGGTGCCCGCTGCCTGGACAGGGTCATGCCAGCTCAGCCCTGCCATCCCACAGAGACCGTGGCCGAGCTGAACCACAGCTACCGGGAGCAGAACCTGCCGGTGACAGATGGGAGCCGGGAGCTGCACAGCCTCTGTGCCCAGCTGGAGTTCCTTCTCCAGGTACTGCCACTACTCCGTCCCTGCTGCTCCCTGCCTCAGTTTCCCCTGGGGTGCAGCTGAGAGCAGAGGAGACCCCATGATGGCTGTTTTGGGGGGTGGGATGACCCCAGCCAACACTGTCCAGCCCTGGGCATCCCCAACCATGTGAGCACCCAGACAAGGCTCACCCATGTGCTGCAAAAGGGAAACTGAGGCACAGAGCCAGCAAAGAGGGGTCAGCCAGGGGACACTGGGACCCACCCTGCTGGGGGATCTGGCTGGATCCCAGCCCTACAGGGGATAGGCTGGGGAGAGACAGGGGACACCCTGCAAACCCAAGCTTACATCTCTGCCAGTTCGACCTCAAGGAGAAGAGGAGCTTCTTTGGGCAGCGCAAGGACTATTGGGACTTCTTGTGCCAGGGCCTGGCACGGCGCCGTCAGGAGCATGAGGGTGTTCGCTTTGTCACATCCCTGGACAAGGTGGGCATGGGCTGGCAGGATGCCGGGGGACGCGTGCAGACACACGTGTGCGTGCTTCTGCTTGTTTGTGGGTGCGCACGCACTTGTGTATGGGCACACACTCACTTGGGCACCGAGGATGTGCCCACTGGCACTATAAAGGGTTTTCTCCCCTCTGGGGTCCCCGCTGCCCCCCAGCCCTGGCCCTGGGGAGCCTCTTCCCTCCTGAATGGGCTGGGGGGGAGGTGTGTGGGGGACAGACTGATGTGGCAGGGCCAGATAACTCCATCTTCACCCAGCTGAAGACCCCTGTGGGCAGGGGCCGAGCCTTCCTGCGGTACTGCCTGGTGCACCGGCAGCTGGCAGAGTCCCTGCAGCTCTGCCTCCTCGACCCTGAGAGCCTCCGGTGAGAGCTGGGGGCATGGAGAGGGGATACTCACAGTGGTGGGGGGCACAGCCAGGGCAGGCAGTGCCCTGCAGCACCTGGTTGGCAAGGGTGCTGCAGACACGTGTGCCTGCCCAGGGCACAGAGGGGTGCCTTGAGCCTGTTTTGTGGTTGCAGTGAGTGGTACTACGCCCGCAGCCCCTTCCTGAGCCCCCAGCGCCGGGCCGAGATCCTGGGCAGCCTCTACGAGCTGGATGGTGTCACCTTCCGCCTAGCTCTGTGCAGGGCTGACCTGGACACCGCCTGGCCCATGTTCTCTGAGTGAGCACTGGGGGGCAGCAGGGGCACTGGGGACACAGGGTATCAGGATTATCCGGGGCATCAGGGACACCTGAAGTTCAGCATCTCAGAGCAGAGCATGGGCATTGCCCCACTGCTCTGAACCCAACGTGGCACCCCAGCCGTTCCAGCCCTCCAGACATGACCCCAGGTGGGCACAGACACCTGTGCCAGCATGCACACCATGCCCGTGCCTGAAAATATGCCATGCATGCATACAAACACCACCGTCATCTGCCAAGTACATGCCCAGGCACAGGTCTGCTGCAACACTGTGACACTATGACATCTGAGACACGGTGGCATTGTGTGTGTGTCTGTGTGTCTGTGTGTGTCTGTGTGTGTCTGTGTGTGTCTGTGTGTGTGTGTGCACACCCTTGCCCCTGGGCATATTTGCAAGGGGGCACTTGCGGACGCAGCCACTCCAGCATGTTCATGCCTGTGCTGCTGGTCAAATACTCATGTGCATGCCCTGCCACAAGCACACATGCAGCCCCCAATTGCCCCATGCAACCACCACGGGGGTCTCTGGGTGCCACCTGCTCTATGGGTGCCCAGGCTGGTGGCACCAGCATCCCTCGTCCCCTGTCACCAAGTGCTACCCGGTGTCACCACCCTGCTGCCCTCTCCATCCCCAAAGGCTGAGCTGTGCCCAGGGAGCCCCGAGGGAGGGTGGCAGCGCCCTGCTCACCCTGAGGGTGACCTGGTGGCCCTGAGCCCTGTGTCCCCTCTAGGACACTGATACGGCCCAGCCCAGTGACCAGAAGCAGCTCAGCAATGAAGGCCCAGCAGACAGATGATAATGGCACCAGGGAGCATGGATGGCCCGATGGCATTGCCCATCCCACCATGGCACCCCATGGGGTGCCAGGCCATCCATGCCCACCCACCTTGACTGCCCTGCAGGCAGGAGGTGTAGAGGTGGACAATCTAGAGGTGAATGACATGGAAGAAGAAGATGAAGAGGGGGTGGAGAAGGATGAGGAGGAGGAGGATGAGGAGGAGGTGGAGGATGTGGAGGTGGATGTGGATGACGATGTGGAGGAGCACATGGAGGAGGAAGATGTGGAAGAGGAGGTTGAAGAGGAGTTGGAGGAGCATGAAAAGAAGATGAAGGATGTGAATGTAGAGGACCTGGAGAACACACATGGGGCTAGCAAAGCACTTCAGCCCAATGGTGATGGGGAGCCTGGCACATCCCCACCACCCAGAATGGGATGCATGCCAGGCTCCCTGCCACCAGTGCCCAGACAGCTGGATGAGACAGAGGCATCCCTGCGGGCACTGGTGTCCCAGCTGCAGACCGAGCTGGGGCAGCAGGAGGTGGCATCACGGGTGCTGGTGGCCCGGCTGGCACGGGAGGAGCAGCGGCACCGGCTGCAGGAGGAAAGCAGTGCCCAGCAGGCCCAGCTGCAGGCACATGAGGCTGAGGCACTGCGGGAGACCAACATCTTCCTCGGGCAGGCACTGGAAGCAGCGGTGGCAGCAGGGGGCCCAGATGAGCTGGCGCGGGTGCAGGAGGAGGCACAGGGCTGGCGGGTGGCCGCAGAGGAGCGGGGTGCCCAGCTTGCTGCAGCGCTGGCAGAGGCGGCAGTGCTGGCCTCACACCTGAAGGACTGCCAGGCGGCACTGGCAGCAGTGGGACGGACAGACACACTGAAGGATGGTGGTGCCACAAATGAGGTGGCCACCATAGAGGAGGTGCTGCGGCAGGCACTGGAGCTCGCCCACAGTCACCAGGAGCCCCTGCTGGACTACCAGGCAGAGGGGGAGACCAGCACAGCTGCTGGCATGGCCATGGTATGGGCAAGCCCAAGGGGACCCCACAGTGGGGCAGGGGGTTGGGGGGCCAAAGCTGAGCCCTGTTCTCCCACAGCGCTTGGCCACCCTGGCCGCTGCAGCGCGGGAGGAGGCCTGGCAGAGCCGGCAGCAGCTCCAGGCTCAGCGGCAGGAGGTGATGCGGCTTCAGGAACAGCTCAGCAGGTCGGGCAGGGACCCCCCACTCCCACCACCCACAACCTCACAGTGGGTCCCCCCATCTCCACCTGCCACAAGGTTTCCCCTGGGAACCCCCATGATACCCCACTTGGACCCAGAGGAGCAGAACCTGGGGATGGAAAGGGGGAGAGAGGGAGGGAAGGATACTGGGGAGGGAGGGCTGAAGGGACAGATAGGTAGATGGAGGAATGGGTGGGAAGAGGGTTGGAAGAATGAATTTGGGGTGAATAGAGGGATGGAGGGGTGAAGGGGTTGTTGGGATGAATAAATTGATGGACAGGCACACAGAGGGATAGAGGGATGTATTTGAGACAAGTGGATGGAGGAACGGAAGGATTAATTTGGGGTGAATGTATAGATGGGTGGGTGGGCAGAAGGCCAGAGGAATGGGTGTGAGGAAGGACAGATGGATGAACAGCTGGGAAACAGAGGTGTGACTGGCTCAGCAGATAGCACTGTGGCTGTGGGGATGGGGAGACAGCTTGGGGATGGATGGGGAGCGGACAGAGGGAGGGAGGAGGGAGGGAGAGATGACCAGCTGAGGGACAGGGGGACCATCTCCTCACTGCCCTGCACCAGGGCCCAGCAGGACGGGGAGCGCTGGGCATTGGCACTGCAGCGGGCACAGCGGGAAGCTCTGGAGCGGGAGGCCATGCGTGGCACCGAGCAGGCACGGCAGCAGGAGCTCATCCGCGACATGAAGGGGCGGCTGCTGGAGCTGCTGCGGTGAGAGCCCTGGGGACTCCACTGGTGTGGGACCATGGTGGGGGGAGCCAAACCCCTTTGCCCAGAGGAGGGCACCAGAGCCCAGGCAAATCCTGCTCACTGCCTCGGGACACTTAGGTGCCCACCTTGGGTCTGGGGTGCCAGGTCGTGCTCCTGGACCCCCACCACTGGGCATGCTCCTGTCAGGGCTGACCTGTCCCCTCCCGCAGGGAGAAGGATGCCTTGTGGCAGAAGACAGAGGGCATTGACAACCCGATGCCCAGCCCGGCGCCCCGTGATGTAGGGCTCTGTGCCCGCTGCCACAAGGATTTCCGCCTCCTCTCCCGACGGTACAACTGCAGGTGGGCTACGGGGGGCACCGGGGGTGGCACGGGCATGGCACCAGGATGGCATGGCTCTCACCGCCCTCTCTCTCAGCAGGCTGTGCCAGGGCAAGGTGTGCCATGCGTGCTCTGTGGATGTGGGCAAGCAGGGACGCTGCTGTCTGCTTTGCTATCAGCAAAGGCACCCACAGACTACATGAGCCAGGACCACAGCCCGCAAACTGTCGTGCCCTGGCTGCCTCCTCTTGGACTTATCAGGGACCCAGGCGTCTGGGGCCTGCAGGCAGGTCTTGCTGCCCAACATTTTGGGTTTGAGATGTCTCTTTCTTGTGGCTGGTCCACAGAGAGGAAAACAAGCCGCTCCAGCTACCCCTGTGGCTCCCGTGTTGTCTATTGGTCATTACCGGATTGACCCCCAGGCTAGGCGCAGGGCGGGGGAATGCCAGCACAGGGTGTATGAGCCCTGCTGAGGGGGAACCATCCCCATAAGGGCTGTTCCAGTTGCAGCCAGGCTGAGCCACCGTCTGCCCCATCCTGCAGCAGGGAGGCAGCAGCAGGAAGGGGAGACAGCTCTTGGCCAACAGCCCCGGCTTCCTGCCAGGCTCTGAGGAACTGCTTGGGCAAGAGGTTTCCCAGATGCAAAGGTGATGGGCTGCCCCTGCCCAGCACCCCTGCTGACCCTGACTAACCCCGAGTCTCCAGGGGTCCCCACATAGGTGCGAGTGGACTCCCGTACCCACGCATGAGCCAGCCCATGACTGTCACCCACTGGTGCCCCCCACAATTAAGGACCCCCAGGGACACTGGAGCAGGGGAGATAGAGGAGCAGTACAGGACCCCTGTGGAGAGATGCTTGGGCATGGTGGTACAGATACCCCAACACTTGGCACACAGGGTGGCAGGAGGGACCCCAGGAGAGTCACAGCCCCCTCTTCAGCCCCTCTGCCCTACTCTGGTGCAGTCCCAGTTGCCCAAGCTGGGGAGGAAACATCAAGGTTGTGTAAGGGACAGGTTCCCAGTCCTTTGCACAATAATATCCTGGCACTGCAGTGCTGGGGCGGGGCG